TACAACAAACAGCACAGTCTTTTTTTTTTTTTTTTTTCCCCCAGTAGCACTTTTTACAAAGTCTAATTGAACAGACGGTTTTTTTGGCTGACCTCTTTTTATTTTATACCCCCTCGGGCAATATGAGACATGAAAGCTGAACTGTGTGTGTGTGTGTGTGTGTGTGTGCGCGCGCGCGTGCCATGCACATGGGTGTGTTTGGGGTCGGTAAAAGGGGCTGTTTCCATGAACACCATTCATGCCATAGTCGCCAAAATGTTAGGATCCCCAGCCTTTGTGTGGCAGCAACAGGGTCCCTTGCACAGCAGGCCTGCACTATCAACCTTGAATTTTCACTCTAAACCCTTAGGTTAGGGGTGGGCATAGTTTCAAATTGTTTGCAGAGATGATGGTGGTGATGATGATGATGATGATGATGATGTGTGTAAAGCATTCATTAAAGTGGCTGGTGATTCACTTCTCACACTAACGTCTTTGCTTACTTAGTTTACTCCATAACCATCACTTCACCTTTCATCCTTAAATCCAAAACATCCTTTAAAATTCACTACACAGCTTGAAACCAAAAATAAACGGTATAAATGGCTTAGGCTCTAGCCACTGGTTTGTAGATCTTTGCAAGCAGTCCCTGACAATGAGATCTCATCACGTTTGACAAACTGGTGACTGTCTAGGGGCGAGTTGAAATAGGCATTAAGAATCGAGTGTCAAAGGAAGAGGTCAGAGAAAGCAGGAGGACGGACTTTGTCTTACTCTCCTTTGTCAGAGTTCTTACAGAGTATTCAGGAGGGGGCGGAGTTCCCTGGTCAAGGCAACGGTGACTTCAACTGAGCCTGGATGTTTGTCCACAAAAATGAATGGCTGCATTGCTCCTCCTGGGACCGCAGTCAGGAAGCCTAAGATTCCTTTGAAATCTACTGAGTTCCATCTCAGGACATCCTCCCGCTGATCCACAGAGACCCACCCACAGGCTGTATCCCTCCAGGCTATCTGGCACCAGCATGGGTGGGCTCCCATCAACCCTCTGCCAAAATCTGACATTTTCCTCCTGACACTTTATGATGTATGAACCCAGAACACCCCATCGCCTCCCAGTGGGTTATTTTTGCACGATGGTATTAGTGGTCTGAAGCAAATAAGTTAATCTTAAAAATAACCTGGCAACTGCCTTTGGCAGATAATTCTGTAAAGGGCTGTTTTTCTGGGAGTACAAGGCTTCGGAGTCAAAGTCTAAGGAAGGGCACTAATACATGTTGAGTGACCCCTCTCCATCTGGCAGTTATAAATATGGTTTCATGTCACCCTCACAATAAATATCAAGTGAACTGGGAATTGTTAAGAAAAATGTGGGTTCCAATGCCCGTGCCATTGAACATGCTGCCTCACAAAGGGTGAGGAGCCAATGCAGATGAAGTCACCAAATCCCGGGACGTTAGTGCACACACCGAAACACAGCGAAGGGAGTCCTGACAGGAATAAAAGACAATACTATGCCTATTAACCTGCTCTTGTCTCAGTCTCAACCTCAAAGGACTGCTGAGGTCAGCACATCCAAACAGCACCTCTTTGGTGGTCCCATGGGATCACAAGGTCATGGGTGCCCTTACATACGTCATTAATTTGGGGGCCTCATGTCTTCCCTTGTAACACCGAGGGCTTACCCACGTCCAAGATGGCGGGCGCCTTTGCTCAGCTCATGTTGGCAATATTCAATTTGAAGACCCCTCCGCCCCTCTCTTCTCTTTCTCATGACTCTGGGTATGACTTTAATCACAAACACAAGGGCAACTTAATCAGAGAAAGATACAGTCACATTTCCAAAAGGGTTGAGAGCTATGCTGAATATTGTAAGTTCAGAGGGATTCCCAGAGCCCTGAGCATATCCTGAATATTCCAACAGAGACTATCTCTGGCATAAGTCTCTAAAAACATAAAGATCACTCCTATTTGGAAAAAGCTCAGTTTTCACCTTTTTTATCTTTCCCCTTTCCTCTTTCCCCTCATCTATCAGAGGCGATACACGGTGCCACAGAGAGAAAGAGTTGGTTAAGCAGAAACAGAGTAAGGTTTAGGGAAATCGTCCACAACAGGCTGCTAGCATCGGTGCGTGGACAAAAATCTCAAAGTCTGAAGGGCCATCTGCTCTGACAGTGTCTTCCTCCAGCCCCTCACCCTTGATTCAGGGCTTCCAGTTTCCTGCGGTCCCGGAGAGAAGCCACCCAGGCTGCCTTTCCAGGCAGCTGGTGGTCTGTGCCCGCTGTGGCCTTCAGGGAGTTTGGGGGTCTCTTTGACTTCCTTCCTGGATGTGGGCTGTATTTCTGAGGTTAGGCTGTTGCCTAGCTGAGCCCCAGATAGATACGGAGCTGTTATTCTTCCTTCTTTTTCCTCTAAAATGGCCACCTTCTCGATACCTGTGTTCAGCGACAAGGAGCAAGCCCACGTTCACCCCCTTCAGAGAGTCCGTTTCCACCTCTGGGGTATCTTTGCCTATGAGGGACCCCAGGCTGGGAGGATCTTGTTGCTCGTTCCTTGAGGCGGCGACAGCGGCAGTGACCTCGGACAAGGCAAAGCCACTGAGAGCTCACTAGGGTCCTCAAACTTCCAGGCTCGAGGGACACAGGACACATCCCCTCCCGGAGGCAAGAGGGCAAGGCAAGCTATCAGGAATCCCGCTACCAGAGGCCCCTCCATAAAGCAGAAGGTCAAGGCCCAAGAAGAACGAGATTTAGCAGCTGATGTTACAGGCAATGAAACCTGAGACCCTGCCTTCCATTTACGGAGCCCCGTCCCTGGAACAGGGCCAGGGGACAGCCCGTGATGCTGTCGTCCGCTCGGGGAGGCATGTCACAGTGATTTAATTGAAAAAGAAGAAAAAAGGAGACATGTCGCCATGCTTTTGTTTTTGTTTTTTTAAATCACCTAGAAATGTAGCTGGCTACCTTTGAACTATCTTTTTTTTTTCTTTCTTTCTTTTTTTCCCCTCCAGAGAAACCAGGCTTTGCTTTTTGTTTTCCCTCCAAGTATCACTCTACCCTCTGGCTGGCCTAGATTGTTTTAATTTTTCTTCTATTCTGGCTGATACTGAGGCGAAGAGAAAGGGGAAGATTTGCCACGAGCAGTATAGTGCGTGGTGAGAAGCAGGCAATTGGGTGTCCCAGCCCTGGCACTTCCTAGCTGTGTGTCTCTGGCCAAGTGACTTAATTTCTCTGTGACTCAGTGTCTCTCTCTCTAAAATGGAGGAAAAAAAATACAGTAATAGAAAGAAGACCTTAAATGGATAAAGGTGGTCAAAATTGACAAACTGCCGGTTAAAAAATAAAAAAGTCCTGTATGTATCAACGTACAGCATGCTGACTATTGTTAATCGCACTGTGTTGTGCAGGTGAAAGTTGCTAAGAGTAGATCTTAACAGTTCCCATCGCAAGGAAAAAAAATGTAACTACGTTCGGTGGCAGATGTTAACTAAACTTACTGTGGTGATTATTGTGCAATATATGCAAATATCCTATCATTATGCTATACACCTAAAACTGATACAATGTTATATGTCAATTACATCTCAATAGATCTAGAAAAAATCAGGAGACTTTATCATGCAAACTTCACAGTGCAGGTGTATTACCTACCGAGTGCTTAGAGAGGGTCTGGTGCGCCTATCAACTAGTCTTCGAAATCTGTTCGAAAAACTTTAAACTTATTCTCTGAGATTTCACATACAATTTTTTTTTTGATGGTAATTCCTTTTCACAATAAGTACAAAGAAAATTCTCATCCAAATTACCAAAATTTCCAAATGTGTGGAATGCAAGGCAATTAGAGCTTTCCACAGGCAGTGCCAGTCCTTTCTTTCTTTCAAGTAAGCCCGCTTTCAGCTCATGGGGTCCCACACGCCTACTCCTTGACGTTGGGGTTCTCGGGCGGGGGTGGGGTTGTCCTTGATCCTCTTCGGTTTGCCTGGAGGGGCAGCCTTCTCCCCGACTCTCCTCACCTCCAGCCAGGCAGCGCCATCGGTCTTGGTACCCTCAACCCTCCAAGACCCCGTCTCTGCCCAAGCTGCTCCTGCCTCCAAGAATGACCAATGATCCTGCGTAAACAGACACTTCTCCAGGCCCCGCCCAAATGCAGCTCCTGGAGGAAATCTTTCCAACTGCACCCTCCGTGCATAAGCACACTCTTCATGCGACACTATGACACACTGACGTTGCCTGCTTACAGATCTGTATCCCTCCCCAGGCTCCGGGCTGCTAGAGCAGGGCTTTCACATGCATAAGAAACATTTGGGGGTCTCATTAAAAATGTAGGTTCTGACTCGGCACATCTGGGGCGGGGCCTGAGACTCTGCGTCTCCTAGGGGACGTGGATGCTCCCGCCTGTGGACGCCACTGGGTCACATGCTTTTAAGAGCATCTCTGAAATCTGTCACCCTCATCGCCTTCTGACACGTGACCCGGGGACTGGACTTAGGGAGGTGAGGGAGCCGGCAGGGAGGCCTGAAATAAGAGAGACAGGAGAGGAGAGAGGACTGTGTGGGCGAGGCGTGGAGGTGGCTGGACTGGGGAGAGCAGAAAGAATCAGATAGGATGCAGCTAATGAAGAGAAAGGAAGAAAAAAGAATGAAGAAGGGGGACAGAGACCACAGTAGGAAGGAGGAGAAAAGAGGAGGAGAAAGGGGCAAGGGCCGCAGGACGAGGGGAGCAGAGGATGGAGAGAGAGGATGGAGCTCTCTCCTGGGGTGGAAGCAGACCCACGCCGTCTGACTCTGCAGATGAGGGGTAACCTCCCGAGGGTGGGTACTACCGCTGTCCATGCCGCTGAAGACGTGTGCTCAGAGGGTCACCCCCCCACAAAGTCCCTTCCTTTAGAAATAACAGAGGAGGACCTATGCCACTGTTGTGAACGCCCAGGATGCTTTACGTCCGCTCAGAAAACCGAAGAGAACAAGAAGACTTTTACCCAAGTCTTCGAGGGGTGGTCCCTGAGAACGACTCAACAAACGTTACCTGGTACAGTTCGATCCGCTGCTCAGGAACCCTGGCTTTTGGGTTCTGTAAACGAAACACTCGGAACTCGGCCTTCACCAGATTGGAAGCGTTCTTCTCCATCGCCGAGACATCGAACCGGATGAGTCTGAAGTAGGGTCTGTAGAAAGTGGGCGGGATAGCATCTGTAAAAAGTGAGGGCGATCGTTGAAAATGATAAAAATCCATTGTTCTCACTCAGAGGAAAAAAAAAAAGTGCAGCATGAGACGGTCTCGAGAAAGCATAAGGAACATATCTACAGAATGATTTTGTTTTCAATGGCCAATTTCATACCATTAACCATTTAACTAGGAAAAAAAAATAAAATAAACATGTGCGTTTGGTTACAGGAGTCGCAGATTAATGGAGATTAACAAACCACTTCCAGCTCCATTTGCGGGTATGCAGTTAACCCTGTCCTTTGAAAGTTGACATAGCCGTGGAAAATGCTAGATGGTCATGAAACGGAGCATGTTCGTGACAGCTGATGCTGCAGAGTGCTGTCAGACTCGCATACACTTTAATCACATGTGCCAAGAAAATAGCCCCTAATGGCAAGCAGTTTGCCCGTGTATTTTTTTTCCTTGAAATGTTGGCAACCAAATGTTCTACTCTATCCAGGCTCATGTATTGCATTTTTTTTTTTTTTTTTTGTGGGGGAGGCTCAATAGTTTGGTTTTTAACACACATGTGACCAAATATACCTTCTAGTTAAGTTAGGATGAGGAAATTTGAACTAAAATAAATAAATAAATAAATAACTATACTCATATGCTGGCTACATAAGGTCCGGTCTTAAAATTCTTTCTTTCTTCAGAATAATGTCTGTTGCGGGGAGGGGATCTTGGCTAATGGAGAGAAAGAATCAGCCCAAATTCTGTCCGTTCTGAGCCATGTAAGATACACAGACGTAGACAGCGGGTAACGATTCCAAGCTCACTGGTGACCAGAGCTTTGTGGTTATTTTGTAGTTAGCCGCCACTGCTTTGAAGTTGACACTGAGGCTACCCAAAAAGGAGAGCAGGTCCAGTTCCGCCCCCATGCATCCTATACGACATCCATTTACTGAGCACCTACATTGGGCAGGCCACTGGGTACAGATGTTTCCACAACCCCCTTCCGAAATCTCCAGCAAACACTCTTTCAACATCCCAGAATGCTCCCTCCAACTCTAGTGGCCTCATGACTGTCTTCTATCCTCTTCTGAACGACGCAGCTTCATTACGACAGAGTCACCCACTGCTGATGATGGCTCTGGACAAGTGGTGTTCTCTCTCCTGCATTGTGTTCGTTTACTGGTTTCCCGCCCCCCCATGCGGTTTTAAGCATCTTTAGGGCAGAGATGTGTTTGCCAAGTGTTCCCCCCATATCTAGGACAGGGCCCTGCACGCGTGCGATTTACCGAAGACCCACTGTTTGCATCGTTCGTCATCCATGGGGGCCTTAAAGGACTCGGGCACCTGGCCATCGGCAAAGCTAAGCTCTGATGAAATACATGAGCCATCTTAAAAGAGAATAAACATGTTTCATGATTTCTTGAGAAACCCATGCCCTGGCAATCACACTGAAAAAAAAAAAATGCTAGGAACATGCCGAGGTTTCCCGATCTGAAGGGCTCTTCACCTTTCCACCCTCCGAGCCTGAGAGCCTGACTCCATTCCCCCCTTTCCCCAGATGCCAGATTCTCAGAAAGTAGCTCACGGGGAAGTGCTGGACTTCAAGCCATGCTCTGCTTGATGGCTGCTTCAGAAACGGCCGTGTGAACGGAGGCTTTGGGGCTCGTGGGCCAGAAGTCTCAGGAACAAAAAAACCACCCCGAAAATCGAAAGCACCCAGGTTTTGGAGAAAAGAAGGTACACAGGCTGACACAGTGACGGCCCCCCACATTATACTGCAAAACAGCTGATGGACAGTCCTCAGCGGGGCAAGCGCTCACGCCAGCAGGAACGTCTGGAGTCCCTGGCATAGTGATTTGAAAAGGGAGCTGCTAAGGAGACATTGATCTCTCCTCTGAGCCTGCCCACCGCAGGTGATCAGATGGGTTGGGACCAGCCTGACCAGGCCAGGCCAGAAGCCCAGGCGGGGCTGGGCCATGCGCTCTGGCTTTGCACCCCCTCTAGTTTGGCCAGACCCCTCCACGGGACTAGTGGCCACATTCACCATCCCACGGCTTCTCCATTGGACAGGAGAGGCTGCAAACGTGCTTTGCAGGAACACCCTGGAAGAACGAGCTCACTTGGTGTGTCTCCCGTCGATAGAAAGCACAAGCATCCAGTTCATTCTCCCCTGCCTCTCAGAGCGTCCCCCAGGCCTGTTCCATGAGCACCCACTTTTCACACTCGCCCTCCCCATCTCGTCCTTCCATCAAGTGTGTAAAGAAGTGCTCTTGAGATTTATTTTTATTCTCTTTCGTGTTTATTAAACTTTGAGCCATTTTCCCCCCTTTCTGGTCTTCTGCCCATACACACTCTTTCTTTTTATGGCTGCCACGGACCACGAGGTCAATTTTGTTTCTTCTTCTTCTAAGCAAATCGTCCAATGATCCTGTCCCGGGCTTTGGAGCTTTGAAGGGGCGTTTGCAAATATTTACAGGAGCAGCCTGACAGGGAAGCACGCTGCCCTGCTCTGAGCGGCCCCCGCCCCCCGCTCCCGCAAGCAGCCTTCCTCCCCTTGGGCTATTATCGCCATTTCGCCTATTTCTATTTCCCCTGCCTGACAGTACAAATCCACGTTTTTGGATCTTGTGTTATAAGTAGAAGTGGTTAATGCACGAGGTGAGAAGACAGTGGAGCAGCCCCCGCCAGCAACTCTGCTTCGGTCTTGTGGCTGCAGTGAAGCCACCAGCCCAGGGGAAACGGCAGAGGCCCCACACCCCTGCTCTAGCTGACTGAGAACTGACAGACCGTGGTCCCTGCGGTCCCCTGTTGTCATCTGCTATGGGCCAGCAGCCTCCTGCCAGGCGGAGGAACTTGAGCAATTTGCAAAATGTTTCTGGATTTGGGAAAAAACAAAAACAAAAAACAAATCACAGCGTATTGCTCTGGCCTCGTCTGTGATCCGCTCTTACCCGATCACAGCTTTTGGGTGCGCACTGCAGGGAGGGCTGAGAATGGCCCATCTACACCCGCTGCGCCTTGGAGGGTGGAGCTTTTCCCCTGTCTTCTCCCAGGACTCATTCAGAGAGAACGGGGGCTCGCTCTCAAGTCCTCGTTCCCATCCTGGCTCCTCGTCCATCGCCAGGTGACCAGGGGCCTCTGCCTGACCCTGGTCAACTTACCCACACTCACCCCCCGCTGGTTCTTTCCTCCCGATTCCTGACCCACGTTTTTTTGCCAATCGAATTGATTTTCCTTCCACCCTTTGGATTAATTCAAGCCATGAGGCTGATTCTGATTCCCTTCCTACTCCCCCTTGTAACATCCTCTCAGGGAAAATCTTGCACGTAGATTCCAGAATGTCAGCAAGCAAATGGTGCTCCCTTCCCTTAACCCGGACCACACATCTCTGTTGAACTGAAGTTGGGGAATGGATAGCGGGAAGGAAAATGAAGAACTCTAACTAGCTATTTACCAAGACACAGTATACAGAAGGCCTAATTATAGCATCTAATCTAGTATATAAGCGTTAGATGTTGACTTATCCCTTCCAAATAATTTATCTGCTCCTTGTATACTATCTTCTTCCTGCCTAAGCACCTAGAGCCGTTTATAAAAGTGTCTATGTATTTTAAGTCCTTTCCTCTGCAGAGGGAAACTAGAGTCCCCAGTATAGGCTCAGGGACTCCCCGCCACCATCCTGCAATGTTTCACCTGTCCCCGCCCCCCAAAAAAAGTGACAAGAAAATTCTACTGTCCCTCAAACATCTCTGCATTAAGCAATTCCACCTCCCTCTATGATGCTCAAATTAGCACTACCTAAAAAAAAAAAACAGTTATTGAAACACAAAAACTAAAGCAAGGCCTTGCATCAGCCGCATGTGATGAGCTTTGACAGCGAACAGAGATGTGAGGCCCAGAAGGGTCCCCCAGGATGCCCAGAGCCCGGCCCTTCGTCATCCACCTGTTGTTTATTCCTTGCCGGGTAGCTTAGACCACAACATGGCGGGGAGGAGAGTGCGTGTTAGACGCGGGGCTCTTCGGGGCAGGGTCTCTGGGTATCTGCGGGCCCGCAGCGTCTGCCTCGGCTGGGAAGCTTCCACAAGGGCAGGTTATCCGGAGGAGTCTGATGCCCATGGAGCTGCGAGCGCCGCGCTGGGCTGGGGTACCGGTTGACCCCTCGCTGGGGAGACCAATGAAGCATCATACACGAGCAGGTAGGTGGAGGCCAGGGACTGAGAACAACAAGAATTTAGCATCTAACAGCAGCTTTCTGGGAGCCAGCATGAACTAAAACCTCCAAGGGCAATCAGACGTGGGCCCGTGTCCTTGAGGAATTTCCAGGACAAAGCAGAGGTCGGTAGTTCAATGTGAGAGGCAGAAGGTGAGGGTAGGAAAGGGATTGTTACAGGCCTGGGGTAAGAGGCCTCCCAGGCAGCCCTCGCTCTTGTTATTAGAGAGACTATATGGATCCTATACAGCAGGTGTTCTCAAACCACGGGCATGGGGTAGGGCCTGGGGTCTGCATTTTATCAAACTCCTTGGGTGATTGTTACATACCCTAAAGTTTGAGAACCAATGAAATAAAGGACAGAAAGAAGAAAGGGAATCCACAAAGAAAGAGAAAGAGGTGTCCACGATGTCTTTATTTTTGAAAGCACCAGTCACCTGCTAATATCCTATAAAACTGACCTGTTTAATTAGTCTGTTCGGTATTAGTGTCTATCTCTTGCTTCTAAAACGTAAATTCTATAGAGGGATTTTTGTCTGTTTTGGTAAATGGAGAAGCCAAACTTTCTAGGGAAGTACACAGAACAAAGTAGTAGCTCCATAAATATTTTTGGATGATTTTTTTAAAAAGATCAAGGAGCATCTAAACGTTTCACCAGGCATTCCACATTGGGGGGGGGGGGGGGGGGGGGGGCGGGAAATGGACAAAAGAGGAAATTGCAGCCACACAAGAACTCTGAGGATCTTATAACAGAAAAATAAAATTTCCCCATGATTTACACTAATTGTCTAGCTTGACCGCGTATTTCAAACTGAAGAA